CACGGGGAGGTGACGGCTGAGGGAGGGGAGGCGACGGCTGAGGGAGGGGAGGCGACGGCTGAGGGAGGGGAGGCGACGGCTGAGGGAGGGGAGGCGACGGCTGAGGGAGGGGAGGCGACGGCTGAGGGAGGGGAGGCGACGGCTGAGGGAGGGGAGGCAACGGCTGAGGGAGGGGAGGGGAGGCGACGGCTGAGGGAGGGGAGGGGAGGCGACGGCTGAGGGAGGGGAGGCGACGGCTGAGGGAGGGGAGGCGACGGCTGAGGGAGGGGAGGCGACGGCTGAGGGAGGGGAGGCGACGGCTGAGGGAGGGGAGGCGACGGCTGAGGGAGGGGAGGCGACGGCTGTGTTTGAAGGTGCCGGAATATCTCACAGTCACATAAATTCGTAAGGTCGATGTGATGTAATCGTTGAGGAATGTAATACGAACACACTATTTTAGGCCACTACACTATGCACACACACGCGTACGCGCGCGCACATACACGCACACACGCACACGCACACGCGCACGCATGCACGCGCACACACACACGTGCGTGCAGAGAGAGCGAGTGGGGAGGGAGAGAAGGTGCAGAGGAGCGATCGAAAAACTAATTTTTTTTCAGGATTAGAGGCAGCACAACTCCTATGACTGAACACTGCGTTCGTGCGAAGCTCGTTATACATCCTCTAAATTCAATAAAGCAGCATCTCGAGTGAGCACGAGCGTCAGCGACGGCCTTCACCGTCGCTGCTGCCTTGAGCGCGTGTACGCGACGGTCCCGCGGTTGTTCACCTCCTCCTCACACATGTGCCCAGCTCCTCCCTTATTCCTCGTATCGTTCGCTGAGGAGGAGGAGGGGGAGGAGGAGGAGGAGGAGGAGGGGGAGGAGGAGGAGGAGGAAGGAGAGGAGGAGGAGGAAGATGGCGGGTGGTGGTGAAATGAAGTGTGGAGTGTGGGTTTTATCACAGTCGCCACGGGCTATGGTCGGCAACCCTCGGGACCGGCGCGCGAGGAATACCACGCGCAGATTCACGTAACAGCGGCTTCTCTCATCCGCCTCTCGCCTAGTCTCTCTTACTCTCCTCTGTGGTCTCTCACATGTCGCCGCTTCTCTCACTTTCACTCCCCTGACGTACCATCTCGAGCGTTCTCTCACATTTCCTCACCTTATTTCTCTTACTTTGATCTCTTCACCTCCCCAGTTGCTCCCACCCTCTCGCTTCTCTCATCATCACCTTCCCTCCAGGTTCTTTTTCTATCGGTTTTCTTTAGAATCTCTCGTTTTCCACGGGCTCGTAGGGAGTAGAGGAATGAATGTGTGCGTTTGCTGTGTTTCACAGGTGGCCGTGCACTGCACGCGGGGCTGGGTCGCACCGGTGTCATCATCGCCTGCTTCTTGTCTACGCCTACAGGATGAAGCGACGACCGCCTATCCACTACGTCCGATCCCGCAGGTGATGCAACGCATGATGGTGCTAGATGTGTGGTAGCGTAATAGCACTAGCAATGCTGGTGTGTGGATCGCACTAGATGTGTGGGTAGCGTGATAGCACTGCAATGCTGGTGGTGGGATAACGCTAGCTGTGCAGTGGTGTGATAACGCTAGGTGTGTGGGTAGCGTGATAGCACTAGCTGTGCGGGTAGCGTGATACGCTAGCTGTGCAGGTGGTGTGATGGTGCTAGATGTGCGCGGTAGCGTGATAGCACTAGCTTGTGGGTAGCGTGATAGCACTAGATGTGTGGTAGCAGTAGCACTAGCTGTGTGGTAGTCGTGATAGCACTAGCTGTGTGGTATCGTGATAGCACTAGCTGTGGCGGTAGCGTCGTGATAGCACTAGCTGTGTGGGTAGCAGATAGCACTAACTGTGTGGGTAGCGTGATAGCACTAGCTGTCGGGATAGCGTGTATAGCACTAGCTGTGTGTGGTGGCATGATAAGCACAGCTGTGCGGTAGCGTGATAGGCACTAGCTTGAGGCTGATAGCACTAGCTGTGCGGTAGCGTGATAGCACAGCTGTGGGTAGCATGATAGCACTAGTTGTGGTCGGTAGCGTGATAGCACTAGCTGTGCGGGGTAGCGTGATAGCACTAGCTGTGTGGGTAGCGTGATAGCACTAGCTGTGTGGGTTGCATGATAGCACTAGCTGTGTGGGGTAGCATCGATAGCACTAGATGGCGGGTAGCGTGATAGCACTAGCTGTGTGGGTAGCGTGATAGCACTAGCTGTGCGGGTAGCATGATAGCACTAGTTGTGTGGGTAGCGTGATAGCACTAGCTGTGCCGGGTAGCCGTGATAGCACTAGCTGTGTGGGTAGCGTGATAGCACTAGCTGTGTGGGTAGCATGATAGCACTAGCTGTGTGGGTAGCGTGATAGCACTAGCTGTGCGGGTAGCATGATAGCACTAGTTGTGTGGGTAGCGTGATAGCACTAGCCTGTGGGCGTAGCGGGATAGCACTAGCTGTGTGGGTAGCGTGATAGCCCTAGATGTGCGGGTAGCGTGATAGCACTAGCTGTGTGGGAAGCGTGATAGCACTAGCTGTGCGGGTAGGCATGATAGCACTAGTTGTGTGGGTAGCGTGATAGCACTAGCTGTGTGGCGTAGCGTGATAGCACTAGCTGTGCGGGTAGCATGATAGCACTAGTTGTGTGGGTAGCGTGATAGCACTAGCTGTGCGGGGTAGCATGATAGCACTAGCTGTGCGGGTAGCGTGATAGCACTAAGCTGTGTGGTAGCATGTAGCACTAGCTGTGTGGGTAGCATGATAGCACTAGATGTGCGGGTAGCATGATAGCACTAGTTGTGTGGTTAGCGTGATAGCGACTAGCTGTGGCGGTAGCGTGATAGCACAGCTGTGTGGCTAGTCGTGATAGCACTAGCTGTGTGGTAGCATGATAGCACTAGCTGTGTGGGTAGCATGATAGCACTAGATGTGTGGGTAGCGTGATAGCATTAGCTGTGTGGGTAGCGTGATAGCACTAGCTGTGCGGGTAGCGTGATAGCATTAGCAATGCTGGTGGTGTGATAACGCTAGCTGTGCAGGTAGCGTGATGGCGCTAACAGTACCACCCATTATAATGGCTCTATGTGGATAGTGTAGTAGTAGTAGCATGGATGTGGGTAGTGTGAGGGATTAGGCGTGTAAGAGCGCTAGCAGGTAAGGTGATACGTTTGTAGTGTCGATATATAATGACGTCTTCTGTGCGTGTGCCACTTTTTCTGCTCATTACTGCCGCTGCAGGAGGCAACGGTAATGCTGCCATTTGAGACATAATTTTGAGACGGCCATGTGGAAGATAGGTCCACGCCAATTTATTGTGTCTGTACCTAACATGTTTTACCGTCGTCGTTAAATAAAGTTTTTACTTACTTACTTACTGACACGTTAATGCTACGATGGGAGATGGGGGGGGGGCTGCTAGTGCACACGCGTTCTCCCTCTCTCTCTCTCTCTCTCGCGCTCTCTCCACATATATATATATATATATATATAATATATATAATTTATATGTATATACATATATATATATGTGTGTATCAAAAAAATAATTGTTCATAATTACAAAATATCTAAATAAAAATTACAAATAATAAAATATCAAACCGTATTTTACTCATTTATACTAAATGGTGGAAACTGTAATTAAATACGTAATCTATCTTATATCATTATTATAGTTGCAGTATCTTGTCACAACCTATCTATTCTTTTTTGTCTATCATGACTCGCACTCGTATTAGTATTTTATTCGTAATTCATAAATCGTATTTTATATTAAATTGTTAACATCGTGACTCGACAACTTGCAGGCCCAACTCTATTCAGACGAGAGCGCAGATGGTGTGCGTGCAGAAATTTGAGCTCTACATCTTCCCCTTCAGAATTATCTTCGCCAACGTGTAAGTGTAATATGAGTCTATATTTAGCCTTAAAATCCTTGCAAATGATTGGCAAGCAGCCATCTTTGTTCCTGCTGTTTGTGTAATTATATGCTTGCACTGCATCTGCATCATGGTCATGTTCCCCCCAGCAGTGTACCACGCAGACACCCTAGTGTGTGTGTGGGTGTGTGCGTGCGTGCGTGCGTGTGCGTGTGCGTGCATGCGTATGGTCAACAGGGCATCTGTGATTGCTGTCCTGAGATTTCGCTACTCCTGTTTCACTACTATACACTGCGCTGCAGTGCGTTGGCTGGGTATGCACCTGTGTACACGCAAACGCCAACAGATCCCTTCAGTAAGCTGTAAAGCTAATGAGCTTTCCATTGACAGCATAAATCAGTAGTTGCTATGATACTGGTAGCGCTAGTTGCTGCGATACTGGAACATTATGACCAACACGTCTATAATCAAGACGACTATGTGTATTGCGTTGTTGCTTTTTTAAATTGACAGCCCATTAGTTATACGACATAGGGGGTGATACTACATTAGGAGTGTTCCCAACTTTAATGTCATTAATGGTCATAATAACATAAATATATATATATGGTCATATATTAGTTTGTGGTTTAATGTCATTTAGGTTAGGGTTAGGGTTAGGGTTAGGATTATCAATCATTAATCATTAATCAATAATCATTAATGATATCATTAATGATATCAAAGTTGGGAACACTCCTAATGGAGCGTTAGCCGACATAGGGACAAAAATTCCTGATTGACGTAACCAGGTGAGAAGCGGGTTCTACGCACTATATCTGTATCTATATCCCGTAGGTCCCCGACTGCACACGAATTTACTCTGAACCAGTACCTGAGTCGACAGCGGCAAATGCTGCACGGTTACGAGTCCAGGAGACTGAAGTTCATCCCGAAGGTGCTCCGGTTTCCATGGTTACCATGTGGCTACACACGTTAATTAAATCCAGCGTAATACGCTCTCGTTAAATTTTTTTCTAGTTGTCTGCGTGCGCCACGCTCGCGTTTCGTCGCGTGTAAATGCTTCGGCGTAAAGTCCCGTTTCGTGTTGGTTATGATTCCTTTAAAGCGCTAGTTGGCTATCGCATTTCGAAAATTAAGCGAGTGCCTGCAGCATTTTTAGGTGTGCATAAAATTGGCCAGAGAATAAGCCCACCAAATGTGAAAAGCCTACAAGCAAAAAGCTCTAGATATATACTGTTTATAATACATTGCAAATTGACTTCGCCCGTGCAATTCCTTTCCCCCGTTCATTGACTTCCCCCTCCCAGACCTCTCTCTCTCTCTCCTTTCCGCGTAGCGCTCCTTCCAGTGTAGTTCTCCCTTCATCTCTCCCTCCCCTGATCTCTCTCTATCTCTCCCCCTCTCTCCCTTCTCTCACTCCCCCTCTCTCTTGCTCTCTCACTCTCACTCCCCCTCTCTCTTGCTCTCTCTCTCTCTCTCTCTCTCTATCTCTCTCTCTCTCTCTCTCTCTCTCTCTCTCTCTCTCTATCTATCTATCTCTCCCTCTTTCTCTCTCTCGCTTTCTCTCTATCCCTCCCACTCGCTCCTTATCTCTCCCTCTCTCCCTCTCTTCTTATTTCTCTCTCTCTCTCTCTCTCTCTTTCTCTCCCTCATCACTTGCTGGCACATTGTTTTACAGCTAGTCTTCATCATCTGTGAGCGGCTGCTTGAACTCGCCTCTGCCGAGCTCACGGTGAGTGGTGGCGTTGCCGTGGTGACGGATGCGCACCAGAGACTGCAGGAGGGACTGCTGACCCCGTTGATGGGCGGCGGCGGCGGCGGCGGCGTCGGGCGTGGGAGGTGCAAAGATTCGTCCAGCATGGAGAGCCTGAGTACGAGTATCACGCAGGAAGGAGCCATGGCTGAAGCCAGGAGAGCCAGCGCTGGTGACGAGGCGGGCGGGTTGTCGGTGGGCGAGCGTGTTTCCGCGACACCGAACACCGAACTCTGCCGTCCTGCGACCCTTCGTGAGCTCGGCCACCCGACATCTCGCGATAATGTCAGTGCTCCCACGATTCAGGTCGACCTCTGCGACCCCGCAACCCGGGATGACCTCTGCGACCCCGCGACCGGGGATGACCTCGGTGACCCCACGACCCGGGATGACCTCTGCGACCCCGCAACCCGGGATGACCTCGGCGACCCCGCGACCCAGGATGACCTCTGCAACTCCGCAACTCGAGACGACCTCGACGACTTTCTGACCACGGTCGACCATTGTGACACTGTGATGACCGAAGCCGATGATGCGGCAACCCAGGACGACCCCTGCAACCCCGTCGACACCGCGATGGACGGTTTCACAATCGAAGGTGAATCGCTGTCCGACCTTGATGCGACCTCAAACGACCTCGATGCGACCTCAAACGACTTCGATGCGACCTTGAACAACCTCGATGCGACCTCGGACGACTTCGGTGATGTAACCTTGAGTGACCTTGATGCGACCTCGAGCGGCGACCTCGATTCGACCTCCAGCGACCTCGATGCGACCTCGAATGACCTCACCAACGACGAGATCTACCGGGAGGCACTGGCTTCCGACTTCCATCAAGAGCCGTGCGGGGAACTGGCCCTGGAGCTAGAGAGACTACGCGTGGCATGTGGAGGCACACCGATGCCGCATGCAGGGGGCGCCCTGAACAGGTAGCGGGCCTAGCGCTCAGTCATGCGTGGGGGGCGGGGGTTAAGGAGTTGCCTGCAGGTTGGATTGTCCTCCCTCCTCTCTCTTTTCTCATTTCACACCTCTGCTCCCTCGTCCCTCCGTCTTACTAACTCCACTTACCTTATCAGGGTTCTCCCTACGTTGCGCAAACGGGGCGCGCGCGCCCCGTTTGGGAATAACCCGCCCTGTTTCAATCGTTGCGCCCCGTTTAACAATCTCCACCACATAAAAGTTTGCCACGCGGGAAATGAGACCGTCAAAATTGGCCGTTCCGACCAGGAACATCCGACGGCGTGTCTTTTTTACCGTCCCCTAGCGCATGCCACTGGCAGACAAGTAACACATAGCTGGTTAACTGACAAACGCTACACAACAAGTTAACCTGTCACTAAACTGTACACGCCGACTCGGCCTATCGTTATCTACTACTAGTATTTGGCGAATGTGTGTTTGGTAGTATGTATGTTTGTGAAAGGCCCGTCAGTTTCGATCCGAAATAGGCGCCAAATTTACAGAAGAGATCGATGAGTACACGGGACGTGTTGTAAACTATACTCGGCTGTTAAAACCGTTTGTTCGGTGCTTCGGAAAGAGGAAAGACAGAAAAAAAGCAAAAAAAGGTAAGGCAATTTGCGCCTGAAGTAGTAGGGGGCGCGTATTAGTTTTACGTTCTCAGTTTGCTATTTCGTCCTTGCCTTGCGTTTCAACAGGGGGTGGTTTCAATTTCCGTGTTTGTTCATGTGTATTGCCTGATGTCGTGTCTGTGTGGTTGAGATTTGGTGTAAGCCGCCATAATGTAAGTAGAAATAACCATGTAATACATGAAGTTAAATATTCAAGTACTAATTTTGGCCAATAGTTTCGCTGATGAGGGTCTTATGTCCCCCGAGGCGTGTACCACCTGGGGTACGAGTGTCCGGTATATCCAACACGTACCCTGGTAACCTAATCTAGCTTATGTGGTTAGGGTGTAGTGTTAGAGGTTAGGTTCAGGTTAGAGTTAGGGTTAGGGTTAATGGTGAGCGTTAGGGAGTAAGCGTAGGCGACATCCCTAAACTCGAATAGTGGAGTAGGCGAGGTACGGTCCGCGGCATATTAGATTAGTAGTATTTAGTACCAGGGCTACGTTCCGGTATACAGGACCGTACCCAGGGTACGTTCGGCAGTACCGCTGGGGACATAGACCGTAACTGGCAGCCATTAGTCTTCACGCAGATCGATGTACAGAGTTGAATGTTCATCAGAGCAGATTTTTTTTGGAGTCGGTCAATTGCTAGTACAGTGTACGGGTGTCCAGTGAACACCGATCTGTCACAAGCGGTCCGACCACAAGCACGTAATATTAACGTACGTCCGCACAGAGTGCGCACATGCGTAGAAGTCAAAGCGATCACAACCACGGCAATACTTACCTGGTCTAGCAACACCGTGGAAACATGCGAAGGCACAGTAAATCATTGCGTTTACGTTATTAACAGCAACTATCAACATCTACATCTATATGTTCTACATTTTTGGAAGTCCCGTATCATCCCAACCAGTAACATAGCATACAATAAAAACATTATCTGTTGTGGGTGTGTGTATTCAACTGTTGTACTTGCCCAAACTAAATGGTTAATGTAGTTACGTGTAGAGCTAGAATACAATAATAGTAACCGCAAACCCAAGAGGATAGAAGGGGTTGTAAACCCACTATCCTTCGTGTGGTTTTGCCGTTACATTATTGTAATCTACGTGTAAGCATCATTGCAATGCACCATGTATTTTATATTGACATCTCAACACATAAAAAACAAACATGTGGCAACATACTAAACTCCATATATAACACCTTACACATAACACGTAACTGCACTGCCATGGTAACACATGAATCACAGTCAACTAGCCCGCGCGTAGCGCGGGTTCAGCAATAGTATATACAAGAACCCCGAAATAACGGTCTATGGCGATGGTGGAACGATTTTACGCATTAATTAGTCGTCTCCGGTAAAAATACACGCCCCCCGAGACGCCCGCCCCTAGTTTCCCCCTCCCCCTCCCCGCGTAGTTCCCGCCCCCTGTCCTCCCCGTCGCCTCCCTGCCCTCGCCGGCGCGGCTGGTTTGAAGTGGGGGTCAATCTGGGGAGAACCCTGCTTATATATATTACCACCTCCCTGTCTCCACCTCTCATTCCTCCTCCCACCTTCCCTCCTCCCTCCTTCCACCTCCCTTCATACTCCCTCCTCCCACCTTCCTTCCTCCCTTCCTCTACCTCCCTTCCTACTCCCTCTTCCCACCTTGCATCCTCACTCTTTTCTCTCTCTTTTCTCTCTCTTTTCTCCTTTTTCTAGGCCTCCCCCCTCCACCCTCCTCCCTCCTCCCTCCTTATCTCGTTCCTCTAAGTTGTTCCCTTTCCAGGTGACACCTAAAGGAATCATTTACCTGAAATTTATGTGTGTGAGACATCTATCTAGTGAGAAATTGTGTCCACCAATTATTTTAGCCAACGAGTTATCTGGTGAATTAATTATACAACCTGTGTAGTTGTGTGAGTGTACTGAGTACTTGGTATATGCAGCGAATGAAATGATAATTCGTTTTTTCAAATTCGTTTTTTTGGAGAAGTAAACCCGTAATTATTGGAATTGTTAATTATTGAAATTACTGTAATTACTGTAATTACTGTAATTATTGTAATTACTGCCCTTGTTACTAAAAAAATAGTAATAATAACATAATAGTAAAAAATAGAAATAATCTAAATAAAAATAACAGAATGACTCAACTCATTTTTTAACAATGTCGTCGTGCTGCAGTCAGAGTCCCCTTGTGGGGAGGAGTGTTCACCGCCACTGGTCAGACCCGGCAGCCAATGCCCACGGGGACGGGGAGGGGACAGGCCTGACGATGGCAGCACCCATCGTCACGGCAACGGCCATTGCTGAGGCTCTCTTATCTGTGTGCGGGAGTGAGGAGGTCCAACTCAGCTGCAGAAGCTATCAGGTAAGCCATCTACATGTAGATTTTAGAAGTAATACGTCTACGTATTTATCTTATATTATAGTAAGTCATCTGCATGTAAATGTTATATATAAGGTAAGACATCTACCTGTATAAGTCTACATGTCTACAGATGTCTACATGTATATGTTATGTTGAGGTAAGACATCTACATGTATATGTTATATTAAGGTAAGACAGCTACATGTATATGTTATATTAAGGTAAGACATCTACATGTATAAGTAATATTAAGGTAAGACATCTATATGTTGAAGTTATATTAAGGTAAGATGTCTACATGTATGAGTAATATTAAGGTAAGATGTCTACATGTATATGTTATATTAAGGTAAGACAGCTACATGTTGAAGTTATATTAAGGTAAAGCATCTAAATGTAGTAGCTGGCCTGAGCTATCATTACTACAAGTTAGACTGGGTGCTATTACATCATGCTAGGTAGGATGTCTACTTGCACAGTGATTGCATATACACAGTTTCCACTCCCTCATGTTGTAGGTGTTGCTCAATTCACATTCGTCTGCCTGGGACAAGTTAGCAGCAGAGTCTGACATCAACGTCCTCACTCGTCTGCTCTGGTCATGGATTGAGCATCTCAATGTGAGAGCGCTGCCATATCTACACCTTTTTGCTCACCTGCGCGTTTATGGATGAGGCGCGGCACATTACCTGAAAATCAATAATCAATCAATAATCATCAATAATTTACCTGAATGATATCCTTCATCATTGTGTGAGCTACCTGAACAGTGAAACAAACATTCTAATAAAACAGTAGCATTTTACCTGAATTTAGAGATTGTTCAACTGAGCGCCTTTGATGTTTCCCCTGGATATTGGAACATAAAATTAGAGAGCTTTCAAACAGAATGCATTTGATGATTCGCTCTGGATATATGGACTTGTTATCTTTAAATGGGATGTATTTGGCTTTTCCTTCTGGATAGGGGAACATAAAACTAGAGAGTTTTTAACTGAATGTATTTGATGTTTTTATCTGTACATAGGAACCTGTTATTAGGGAGCAGGATCTGGTGAAGATGGTGCAGTATTATGATAATCATGTGAGAGCACTTCGCAGGTTAGACAAGGTATATTTTTTGTTGTCGGTAATTGTCGATGGAATGGTGAGAAGGTCGAATATTACGTGAGATATCGAGTAGTTGATTGTGTAATATTAAGTACATGTGTATTATAGTAGTAATTAATAGGTAAATTCGTTATAACATGGTGTTTGGTTTATAATCTGCACTTGTATCCGGGATGTATTTGTATTCGTAACACAGTTTATTTTTTATAAAGAATTGTAGAGAGAGCAATGTCTACAACTCGTATCTTGTTCTTTACAGGGAACTAAAAATACAGTGGAATTTCTAGTCTGCTTTCTTGCTAAACTTCAGCCAATTCCAGACAGCTTACATTTGAAGCTTTTGCACCGTTTGGTGGCAGCACTGAAGCAGGATCCTGTACTTCCTCTTGATCAAGTAGAAAATCTGGGTATGTGGCTGGCAGTGTTTCCATGACAACAACATACATGTACCTTGGCTCACTGCCGCAGCTGCATTCCTTTTCCTCAAAGTCTGATTCCCAAAATTTTGGTTCCGTTTTAACACATTAATGGAGTAAACGGTCCCTGGAGTTTTCATGAAGGATTATATTTGAGAAGTTATGGCTCTTTATTTACGAAATTGTTGTTTTTAAAAAAACATTACAGATTTTCGTGCATCTTTTCAACATATTTCCTAAAATAAAACATTTAAAAAAAATTCCAGCGATCGTTTACTAGTTCATACTATAAACAACTTATGGCTAAAAGTTTAGGTCCCAACCCTGCTGTTTCTGAGAAATGTGAAAAAAGCATGCTTTTATATAAATTTACAATTTTCACGTAATTAGCGATGACGTTTCTGTGATTATTTGCGATTATGAGCCTTTACAGTGGTACCTGTCTGTAACCCTGGCTGTATTCTTAATGGAAACGTAGCACCTGCTCAATCATACAGTTTAATGCAAATGTGACACGCGACCCCTTTTATTGCTAGCGAAATTAAACGAGCTCTCTCTTCTCTCTCTCTCTCTCTCTCTCTCTCTCTCTCTCTCTCTCTCTCTCTCTCTCTCTCTCCTCTCTCCTCTCTCCCTCTCTCTCTCCCCTCCCTCCCCCTCTCTCTCTCTTTCTCTCTCTCTCTCTCTTCTCCCCCTCTATCTTTCTCACTTCCTCTTCCTTCTCCCTTCCTTCCTTCTCTCTCTATCATCCCTACTCGCTCTCTCTCTCTTTCTCTCTCTCTCTATCATCCCTACTCGCTCTCTCTCTCTCACTCTCTCTCTCTCTCTCTTTCTCTCTCTCTCTCTCTCTCTCAAGAAATTTAACGAGCTCTCTCTCTCTCTCTTCATTGCAGTTGGAAGCACAGACCTGTTTACGAATGATAACTTTGAGAGAGCCGTACAAGGGAAGGTGCTTGTGAGAGCTGGAGTCAACATTGACGTGCAGCACAGCAAGCTGCTCGCACTGTTTGCGCAGTGGCTGGCTAGCGTGAGGGTACAGTTACAACCCACAGCCTGCACAAATTAGCATGCAGCCGTGCATCATAGCAAGGTGCAGTTACAACCCGCAGCCTGTACAAATTAACATGCAGCCGTGCATTGTATGAAGGTGCAGCTACAACCCTCAGCCTGTGTGAACTAGCATGCAGCCATGCAGATAGCCCTAACAGATAGTGTCCTGCAGTGGGGGCATGTTGATCCCCTTCAGTGAGTTCTGTCCTTGACGGGGGAGTCGGGGGAGTCGCGCCACAACAACGTCGTGTCCCGAAACCCAGAAGGGTTCCGGATCGCAATCCAGGTCGTGGTGCAAGAATTCCAGGTTGTACCCAGAATCGGGATGAAATCGGACCTCCAGGACGAGAATTCCTGCATCGCGTCTGCGATCGCGGCGGAATCGGGTCCGAGCCGTGAGAACCCCAGCTGGAATCCGTAATCTGAACACGACCTTCCAGCGTATACAATTGAACAGGGGGCGTGGGTAGATGCTGGGGTTTCCAGCGTAAATAATGAAACAGAGATGGGTTAGGTACTACAATCTTCCAGCGTATACAATTGAACAGGGGGCGTGGGTGTATACTATGGCTTTCCAGCGTAAACAATTGAACAGGGGAGCGTGGGTAGGTGTTACTGGGTGTAGTTCAGGAGTATGGGTCCTTCCTACTGTGCTCGCTGATAGAACCTGACACACCTAGCTGACTGTTGTGACGCACACCTGACTGCAGGTGCCTTGTGTGCATACACAAAACTGCTGTATATAGTAGATCGCCGGTGTGATGATATTGCTAGTTCGAGAAAGATTTTTTTTTACGATTGAAAAATCATGATTAGCAGTTATATGTAGTGTGTCATATCACAAGACAGGGCTGCCAACATTGGGTGATAGGTGAGAGTGAGATGCGAGGGAGCGAAGTGACTGAGGGGGGGGTTTCCCCCCTCCCACGGTAGGGAGCTTTTGCATTTTATAACTTCAATTTGTGCAATTTGGTGCATACTAAAGTGACTGTTTTCAGATATTGTAAGATTTTTTTTTGCTTTGCGTGAGATATTTCAGTGTTTTATTTATGAAGAGATATTCATGCGTGAGATATCTCAGCATTTTTTTGCTGTGCGTGAGATATTGTAAGATCAGCGTGAGAGCGTGAGATTTGGTCAAAATGCGTGAGTCTCACGGTCAATGCGTGAGAGTTGGCAGCCCTGCACAAGATGAAGCTTGAAATTATGATAATTATGGTAAAGCTATTGATCAGATATACCGATTGTGTCTTATGAGATCTCAAGTTAAGACTCGAGGATCTTAAGGCAGTGTTAAAGGAACTGTTACACTATGAAAGCGCATTTACTCCTAAGACTGTAAAATTTGATTTGTTCAACCACCGTTACATATTATATAATTTACGAATCAGCTGCCGAAAGCTGTATGTTATTGTTAAGTTACTGTTACCGATTCCACAGATAATTGTCTTTCACGCATCGTTTTGTTTTAAGTATTGATGAGAGTATGTATGCATTTTAATTTATTTCACAGTTAATTTACACAGTGATTATTACCTTGTACAGTTGAATATTGGTTATTGATTTTGGGAAATATGCGGCCGTGATGCATTGACAGTGACAGATTAATGACTAATTAATTTTACAAATTAATTTAATAAATAATTAATTTAATTAATTTTAACAACAAATTAATTTTTAATAAATGAATGACAATTATGGAATCATTCGGGACGTCGCTGTATAAAAGTAAATGCTCCGTTTTCGATTCATCTAATAATCAGAACATTTCCCATGCAGTCTAGCGTTAAAGGACAGCGTTTACGCAATGATTTATTGGCGTCTCAATGTTATTCAAAACGTTGAATTGATTAGTATGAAGAGGTATGGCATATGAACATTATTCAAAATGAGATTTAGGGAATATTCAGGATTCAAGCTCAAATTAGACAATATTTAAAATTCATGTATATATTGCTAGAGTAGAAACTGCGTAACCGTTGAACGTTGCTGTCAAGTATATTTAGATACAATAATGTAACCCAACAAGAGTAGAGAGAAACAACTCCTACAAACAACTCCAAGAGCCAACAACCCCTACTCTTGTTGGGTTACATTATTGTATCTAAGTATATTATATGCGGTGTACAGTATGGGTATTAGCTAGTGCCCGCATGCACGCCATGTATCTTACCTGCTGAGGTGGCCGTTGTAATTTGAGCTCGACGCGCATGCATGCGGGGATGGTCCCCAACTCCCCATGCTGTGATATAATACATATGCCTACATACATTTTACGTACGCACGTGCGCACGCACGCACGCACATACACACACACATATATATATATATATATATATACAGGCCCGTAGCCAG